TTATTATGCAAATTTGATTTCCTTTTCAATAAAGCAACATACACAATACACAGTATCTTTAAACACTTCATTTTTGTACATGTCAAACTTGTCGATCAATCACTTCACTTAGAAATAATTGCGCGCTGAATCAATGTATTTAAAAAGACATTACAACAAATAAAAACAACGGGAAAATTAGAAAATAATGATTAATATTCATAGTTGTGAGAGTAGCTCGGAAATGGGGCAGAAACAGTATAAACACGAGTATGAATAACGAGATATCGGGATGAGAATGTGTACTTGTTATATCGAGCAATTACTTACGTTAATCTGAATTCATTGAGAACGGGATTGCGAATTAAAATTGCCTGCAAGAATCCACTCTGTCTTCCAAAACCTTTCTCGAGGCTCGAGAGCCTTGACGTGAATCCTTGGGCTGAGTTGACACCATTGACACTGACGCTTTCGATGCTAGGTCCCTCGGATGATCATTAACCTATACTAGCGACTTGATCGCTCTTCTCGGGATTCTTACCGTCATATGATACGCAACTTTAACATTTTATAGAATTACCGACAATTAATTTATGATTAATTATTAGTTTAATTTTTCTATTATTTAAGTATACTACATATATAGTTTTAAAAAATAAAAATATACACATATATGTCTTAATTAAATCATATTTACATATTGCAACAAAAATCACAAAAAATCTCAGAAAATACGTTGTTATAACCCTAAGGGCAAAAAAATGTGAGTAATTTTTATAAGAAATTATCAGTCTTTTTACAGTTATTTGATGAATCTAATATTAAATTTGCAGCATCACAATCGATGACTCGCCGTTCTATCATATTGTAATCATTGTAATATGATAATACCAATCGGCACCGTTCCTACACGAGATACTTGTGCTGCTTGTGCACTACGCTTCTATGTGCGTGTTCTGTTAAATGGCATCAAGGGATGCGCGATTTTGTAGAAAAAATCGATATCGAAAGAATCGATAAAAACGAAAAAAATCGATACTAAATAATCGATTATTGCAAAAAAAATCGAAAAATCGATATATCGATAAAATATCGATTATTTAAAAAAAATCGAAGAATCGATATATCGATTCTATATATATATTTTTTTTAAATATTTACAAACGGCAATCAAAAACTAAAAAAGAGAACCGTTTAAAAAACTAAATTATTTTTATAATTTTTTAATATTAACAGTGTTAATTTAACACTGTATTAATTTAACACCTACATAAAATGGTATTTGAAAAGAAATCAACTTTTTGATATAAAGTTCATTTTATTTTCATCGCTAAACAATTTTAAATATTTTAGAAATTTTTTTTGTTATTTGTCTATTGTTCTATCATTTCCTTACCAATCTTACCATATATTTCTTCAGATAATTTGAATTTGTAGTAGTAGATTTGAGACTGCCGTTTGTAAATGAAAGTGGTCCTGGAAAGAAAAACAATTGATTATTTCCGATGATATATAGAAGGGAATATGTATAATTAAGGTCCATGACAAAGTAAGTGTGCCCATGATAAAATTCATACTTGACTTGACTCGTACTCACTTATAAAATCATCAATTTGAAATAAAAAAATCAAACAGCAGATTCAAGGTCACCAATATAAAAAGCAGTATAAAGGAAAAAAAGAATTATGCCAGTATGTATTTCTTTCTAATGAATAAGTACATAGTACAATCTTTTTGTTAAAAAAAACCAACAAATGTCTGAAGTGCAAATGTGATGTTCACATTGCACATTATATAAAAATAAACATTGCATAAAAATAAACATTGCACACATTGTACATTGTATAAAAATAAACCGAGAATAATAAGAATAAGAATATAAGTCAAGGTAACAGTAATATATATAAGTAAGTAAGTTAAGTTATATAAGTAAGTTAAGTTATATAAGTAAGGTAAGTAATATATATAAGTAAAATGAAAAAATTGGGAATGAATAATAAGAGTCTAGATGCAGAAAAATTCTTCATTCCAATTTCCATTTTTCTTTTGAAAGAGATCCCAGAAATAAGAGTCGATTCAAGTGCTCATCCGTTAATCGATTTCTCTCATTGCTCTTGATGTCACCAGCCTCGGAAAATTTCCTTTCTGATGGTACAGAGGTACTAATAATACTGATGTATCGAATTGCCAGTTCGTACAGCGTTGGAAACGAATTCTGTAAGGATTTCCAATGTTGAAATGGATCGTAATGTCGAGCAATTACCGATTGCTTTAAATATTGTCTTAATTCATGGGCAAGATGTTCATCTTCCGTACTCTCATCAGTACTCTTTGCCACCATATCGTCATGAGCCTTCCAAATAGTTTCATTAGAGTCTTGTTGAACTGCAGATCTTTTTTCTTGAATTTTTTTCCCACCAATCTATTTCATTTCTTTATTGATTCGTTCCACAGCAGCAGCTGCTGCACGGGCATTTTGAAAATCGATTCGTTTGAATCGTGGATCAAGTATTGTAGGGACCGCAAGAATCATATTATTTTCAACATTTTTAAATTTATCTTGAATCGATTCAAGGAGCTTTTTCTGAAAAGAACTTCCGTTGTTTGTTGAAGGTTTAACTTGTTCAATTGATAGTGTCATACAGTGAATGATTGGTATAATAGTACTGCAAGTAGGATATTTGCTGCCACTGATTTCCTTAATGACATATTCAATTGGTTTCATGAGAGACACGACTTCCTGTAGGACTTCAATTTGGCTATGAGTTAACATATCTGGAATGTCTGATCTTTTGCATTTCAAAGTAACTGCATAAACGTACTGCTCCAGAGCGAGAAATCTCTCTAACATGTAAAGAGTGGAATTCCAGCGAGTCGGAACATCAAGAATAAATTTCAAGACGGTTCCCTCTGTCTTTCCATCAAGTATTTGTAACCGTTTTAACTCATCTGTAGCCACAACACTTCTTCTGATAAGCACGACAATTTTCTTTACTGTAGCAATAATATTGTTGATCTCTGGCATATCCTTTAATATTTTAGGTACAAGATGAGACAAAAAATGAGCAAAACACCAGATATGTCTTTCAGAGCCTACAACATTATGTACAGCAGCTTTAATATTTGCTGCTCCATCACTGGTGATTGCCATAATTTTTTTTCGATCTAATTTAAAATCATTAATGACAGAATTGAGACACTCCGTGAGGTACTCTGCTGTATGATTTGTATGCAGCGGAAAGACTCCCAAACATCCATTTTTCATTACAAGATCTTCAGACAGGTAATGAATGGTGACACCCAGATAGCTTTGGAAAGTACAGTCTGTCCAATTATCACATGTTAAAGTATAGGACAAAGCTTTTTCAAGAGTGGATTTATAACATTCTTTTGCTTCAACATAGCGATTATCCATTAATTTAGTTAGAGTCTTTCGATCAGGTATACGATAAAGTGGAGCTACTGTTTTCATCAAAACCTTGAAACCTTCTTTATTAACTATGGATAGTGGTTCTTTGTCTTTGGCGATCATAAACATTAGTGCTGCAGTAATTTTGTCAGACCGTGCTCCTCCTTCTGAAAATGATAAACGAGCATTCGACCATTTGACTAACCTACTTATTAATTGTTTGAAATTTGTTACAAACCTGCGAAAGAATTTGCCCTTCGGGGTAACTTGCTCTTCTGAAACAAATTTTAATATATTTTTTTATTATGTATTAAAAATTAGGACTGTTACTTTTTCAAAGCTTCGAAGTTTTAAAAGAACGAAGTTTCGAAGGATCGAAGCTTCGAAGATTTTCGAAAGAACGAAGGAATCTTCGAAGGAACAAAGCATCGAAGGTTCAAAGTTTCAAAAAAAATGTGTTAAATCGTAAACTATCACACTTATGCTTCATTTTTTCTAGTTACAGCGTCTGTGATGTGTAGTAAGTAGAAAAAATGAAGCATATAAATGTGATAGTTTACGATTTAACACATTTTTGGAAACTTCGAACCTTCGAAGCTTCGTTCCTTCGAAATCTGTCAAAGCTTTGATTTTTCGAATCTTTGTTCCTTCGAAGATTCCTTCGTTCCTTCGAAGCTTCGAAGTTATAAACCTTCGATCAAAAGTAGTAGGCTTATTAAAAATCATTATCATTACCTTTGATGCCAATTTTATTCGTTTAAGCGGCGGATCATCTTCATCTCTAGCTGTCGATT